ACTCTTTCCTTTTAGTGGTGTCACAAAACCTCAGCACAAAGCAAGCTAAATTCTAGTTTTAGGAGCACTCTGGATTTAAATTCTTTCCAATCATTAAATAGTTGCAGTGTAATAAAGACTTACTTGGAGAGTTGTTCCTATGGGCATATGGATTGGGGTAAGGGGCAGAACGGTGATTCCTCAGCGATGAGTACCTTTCACAACTGTGAGCAGGAGAGAGTGATAAAGGCGATCCAAACTGAGGGTGAGGGTTGGTAGGGGGGCACAATGTCCCAGTTCCAGGAATAAGCCAACCACCTACTGTGAAAGAGAATCTTTTCAGAACACAGGTACATGATAACATGGGATGACTGGGAAATGTTGAGTACTTTGCAAACTAACAGTCTAGAATGAAATAACAGAGCTGGTCAGTAGTGCAGGTTTGTGAGAAAAAAAAAAAGGTCACAGAAACAAGTTAGCTGTCAGACATTCCATTTGAAAGAAAAATTGGGGGTAAAAAGATTTTAGAAAGGTCAATAAAATCTGGTTCCTGCAGAACTCTATTAAATAATGTTATTAAAGTCTCCTTCTCCCTGCATCTTTAGAAGGATCCTGTCAAAACAACACAATTAAAAACAGATTTTGTTTGTCATACTTATGATACTAATGAAATCAAGATTGAAAATTTTATAAAATCTTCCAGTAGTATAAGAGTGATATAACCATGATTGACTAGAAATGGTGAGGCAAGGACTTTGTTAGAGACCTAATGAAGACCATCTTGCATTCAAAAGCTTGTCCCAACCTACATAGCTGGTCCAATACAAGGTATCACCCTAAGACATCTTTGCCTCTTGCATAAAATCTTACACCACTTAGGCTGTGCATGTGCATTTTGCATTGAATTAATTTTGGAAAATTAAACTTTACTAGCTAGTTTAATCATCTGTTTCTACTTTCTCTTTTTTTTGGTTCTCAGAGTATACAGTTGTTTCCAACACTGCTGGGGAGCATGTGTAAAAGAAAATAGTTTATTTGAAATACAAATAAAACCTAGTTACGTTACAACTTGTAATAGTTCTCTTATTCAAGTCCTGGCCTTAAAAGTTTTTCTTGACAATTTTCCCTAAAATATTTCAATTTAAAAACTTTTAAAATAATGACATTTTACCCATCTAAAAACAAAAATCTATTTTAACTGTGGCTTTCAATTAATATACTAAAAACGAAACTGATAATTTATTTTCAAAACCTTTCTGCTGTCATATGAAATTAAACAGCCTTTCCATTAATTTCTGTGTCAACAGGTTTCCTTATATCCAAGACCCATTGCCTTATAGAAAATTAATGTAATGCTTCACTTTAAAATTTTTAAAAGTATTAATGCATGTAAATACAATACATAGCATAGAAGCTGGAACATGCATAACTAGTACAAAACAATAACTGTGAGAATCAATGGCAATTATATCATACCGAACCCATGGAATGTGTTAATGTGTGTCTTCCAACAAGTACTTGTGTCTGAATTTTACTGAAATACAATATAGTACCAAACTGGAACAGAAGGGGAACGTGTAAAGATAAGATGAAAGATAACAAACATTTGAAACTTGGATATTTAACACAAAGGAAATCAAACATACATTGTGAATACCCAGACTGCTGATTGTCTCCCACTTCATCCATCGTGTCCTTGTGATCACTCCTGTGAAAGCAAACCCGTTTTATTAGTCAAAGAAAATGACCTGAAAGGACTCAGATTTTTTTTCTGCAAGCTGTACAATTGGGTTTATTCAGGAATTCTTACCTTTCTTTAGCATCAAGGAAAGCCTTTGCAAATGGATTATATTTAATTTTTAAAGCTGTGATCTAAAAACCAAAAACAACAAAATGCTTCATTTGCACATTACCATTCAATATCACACAGAATTAAAGGACCCAATCCTGTTTTTCTGAAATCAGGATGCTTTACCATTGATTTCAGGGCAAATGATTAAGGCTATACTGTGGATATACATAGAACTCATCCAATCATCTCTAATGTTAACAGTAGGCTTTAAATTATTCTACAAAAATGTTAGAGACATCCATAACCATTTTCTATCTAAGTTACCTCAGCTTATTAAGGAAAACACATAAGGGGGCACACTAAATATTTTCAGGTTTTGAACAATAATAAATCGAAAGTAGGAAGGGCTCAGTAACTTGGATGTTAATTATTCTTACATTTCTACATTTTAGTTATTTGAAACTAAGGTCCAGTTTTGAAAATACCATTTCTGGTGATTTTGTGTACTTTAAAATGGAGAGTTTATTCTTACATTTAAAGGCAGATTCAGTATGTTCCAAAGGATCTTTACTTTTACAATAAAATTAGAGCCTGTATGAGACAATCATCTTTAGGGAATGACTGTTACTGTATTTCAATATGGCTTTATAGTTATCTAAGTCCAAATAAATGTGCTTCACATTCACCTTAAAATAAACACACACAGAACAGAAAAATGTAAGATGACAAATATTTTATTCCAGGAACTTGCACTTTGCTCCTTCCAAGAATCTAGAGCACTCGGAGGTTTCTTTCCCCCTCTATACATACCTCTTCATTCTGATAAGCCGTCACAGCTATAAACTGGGTCTCTGGGAAAGAGTGACTGGTGATCATTCGCTGAGGGCCACCAACTCTCACTATATGAATCCTAGGCTCATACTTATGCAAGGAGTTCAACATGATCTGTGAATATATGACATCAGTGTAAGAGTGATGTTGTAGCCTTGATAGTCCAGAAATTATATGAGTCAAGGATTTCTTACGGTGATAACTTTAATTGAACCAACTATGTAGTTGGGATAAAGTAAGACATTCTTCCTCGGGTGCCGTATACTGTGAGAAACAAGGATTTCTTAGGGTGATGTGTTTTATTGGACTTTATCTTTTAATGAGACCCGAGAAAGAATGTCTTGGATTCAAAAGTTAACTATCTAACTTTATCCCTGCTACACAGTTGGTCCAATAAAAAAAAAAACCACCCTAAGAAATCCTTGCCTCTCACAACTTACAGCAGCACAGATAAGCACTGGCACCATGGGATGCCAATTCCTGCAATTACAGACACTTTCTGATTTCAGTCATTAACCTTTTTTTTCAGTAATGGAGGAAAAAAGTCAGATATCAGTAAATTCTAAATGTGAAGTCTGACAGAAGACATTTCAATGTGTTAGGCTGAAGTCAAGAAGAAGGCAGGGTAATTTGCATGATATATATCCATATCTATATGCTCTTAACACAGAACCCTCAGTCACCTTAGGACATAACACAGCATCCCTAACTGTGGGAAGATTAACGTAAGTGAGGATATGCACACATATACATCTTTGCTTATATGTGTATATATACACACACCAACATACATACACATATACAGATGCACACACACACACACACACATATAGTATGTATACATGTGTGTGGTTTATATATCCCTATATTCTATCTATATATAGTTCAGCACCCCTAGTTTATAGATATAGGCATGTCCCATGTCCCAAGGTGAATGTGTGGGTTCTGTGTTAGGAGCTCACACACACACACACACACACGTTTGTATATAGGGAGAGAGAGAAAAAAAAACAACTTACACACACACACACACACACACACACACAAAATATATCACAAGATATATCTATGTATCTATATCTCTATAGAGATATAGATATATCTATATAGCACGAGCTTATATATACACATATCTATAGATATGTCTAGATCTATAGATATAACTAGATCTAGAGCTAAATGCATTTAGCTCTATCTATAGATAGATCTAGAGCTAGATAGTTCTGGTTTGTGCTAGATCCTAGCACAAGCTTTCCTGAGCAGAAGTGGCTCTCTCAACTTTCTGGCTAGCCTACATGGTACAAATCTATGCTGCCTTCTCCAAGAAGTTGAAGTTAAGCAAGTCAGCTGTCCAACCAAGCAGGATGTGCCAGGCTGTTCGGCAGCGCAGACAGCTTCCAGGAGGCAGCAGCCAGGAGAGCAAAGAGGCCCCTTATGGACTAACTAAACCAAGAGAGACTGAAGCTTCTCTGTGTTGTCAGAGGCTGCAACAGAGAACAGACCCAAGGTGCCCTGAGTTGGATGGAGGTGGTAGCCAAGGGGCCCACGTGGGAACGAGAGGCTGGGCTGGCAGAGGTGGCTGCAGGGTGGGGGCTTGATTCAGTCCAGCAAGCCTGTTGCTTTTCTAGGGCTGGCAGGCAGCACCTACCCAGTGCAGCCATGAGCCTCCCTGAAAGAGGGGGCCCACTGAGACAGTAACACCTAGTTCCCTGTGACAGAACAACAGAGAAGGGGGCAGGGAACAAGCTCACAGGCCAAAAGCAATGCAGCCTGCCAGCGCCCCTGGCCCCCAACCAGGCCAAGGAGTCAGCAAATGCTGCCGGGGAAGACTGCTCAGAGCTGTGCAAGTCCCTGGGGGTCCCCAGCCAGAGCCTCCTTCCTGGTGACACAGAGGCCAGCCAGCAGGAGGCTGCTGAAAGGGGAGAGGGAAGCTCCCGCCCTGCCTTCCCCTTCCTGCCAGCGCCTGCACAGAGCCATGGGGGGCAAGAAGGGGGCTCACCTGCCCACCGCCGTTGAGTTTGTTGGTGAGCTTGACCTTGCTGAAGGAGACAGGCGCCTTCATCCAGTGCGCGCCAAAGTTGGGTGAATCAGGGTGGATGTAGACGCAGCTGGGCGCCTGCGGCTCGGGCTTGCCGCCTGGCACCCACTCACCGTTCACGTACTTCCAGCGGTGCCCATCGGCCGCCGCAAAGTCCAGCAGAAAGGAGTACATGGCATGCGGGTCCAGGCCAGCCACGCTCACCTTCAGCACCGGGAACATCCGCCTGCGCAGGTCACACGCGGGGAGACAGGCACGCTGGCCACTGGCCCCGCATGTACCCACCCCTACCCTGCATGTGCACCCCCCCCCGCATATGCACACACCCCAGCATGTACACACCCCCATGTCTACACCCTGCTGCCTCTGAGTTCACACTGCCATGTATGCACACCCCTGTGTGTACACACCCCTCCTGTGTGCACACCCACCCCCAACACGTGTACATACACCCTCTGCTGCGTGTCCAAACCACCCCTGCGTGTGGACACCCCCTCCGCATATGCACCCCTCGTGTGTACACCCCACCCCCCTGCATATGCACGCCCCCTAACGTGTGCGCACCCCTGCTGCGTGTACACATCCCCCTGCATGCCCATCTTCCCGCATGTGCATCCCAACCCTCTGCGTGTGCACACTCTCCCCACATGTGCACCCCGCCTACGTGTGCACATCCCACCCCAGCAGGTGTGCACTCCCCTCCCCCGTGTGCAGCCCCCGGGCCGGGGGGCCCGCGCCGGCCCTCCCCTCCATTCTTGGTGACGATCATCTCGTTGGTGAGCTCCTTGAAGCGCAGCCACAGCTCAGCCTCCTCCAGCGTGACGCGCAGCTCCCGCTCGGTGGGGTCGCCCTTCTCGCTGCCCGCCTGCAGCTCGTGCTCCACGGCGCTCAGCAGGTGGTCCACGCGGTACTGCAGGCTCTTTCCCGCGCCCTCCGCGCCCGGGGACCCCATCCCGCCCGCCCGCCCGCCCGCCC